ATATTATTCAGTCATAAAAAAAGAATAAAATCTTGCCATTTGCAAAGGACATGGATGAATCTAGAGGATCAAGCTATGCGAAAAAAGCCAATCTGAGAAAGACAAATACCGCATGATTTCACTCATATGTAAAATTTAAGAAACAAAGCAAATGAACAAAGGAAAAAAGAGAGAGACAGAGACCAAAAAACTGACTCTTAACTATAGGGAACAAACAGATGATGACCAGAGGCGAGGTGGGTGGGAGGATGAGTGAAATAGGTTAAGGGGATTAAGAATACACTTACCTTGATGAGCACCGAGTAGTACATGGAATTGCTAAATCACTCTATTTATACTAATACAACACTGTATGTTAGCTACAATGGAATTAAAATTTTAAAAAGAAATTTTAAAAAGAAACTACAAGTATAATTTTAATATCAAAATCTGAGGGCAAAAAATTAAAGATAAAAACAGATCATTTCAACTATAAATGCAAAAATACTAAATAAAATCCTAACAAACTGATGTAAATTATTTGTTTAAAGAATACCACACTATATTAAATCAAGTTTATCACAGGAATACAACATGGTTTAATATTTTAAAATGTACTAATGACATCAACAGGCAAAAGGTCTAAGATCATCTCAGTATAAGCTAAAAATCATTTAATAAAGTACAGTCTTGTTAAAAAATAGTAAAATAACCAGATCTGTATTTTAATAGATTTTAATACTGACTGTAAACCTACAGTCAATATTTTTTTAAAAATGAGAATAAAACAAGTATGCCAACTATCACATTGTTTTGTAATATTGTCCTAGAAACTCAGACAAATGCAGTAAGAAGTTAATGATAATCCGATCCTTAGAATTAGGTGTTAGCTAGACGTAGGAGAAATGTACTAAAATGAACAGCTTTCCTATATGTCAGAAATAACAAGTTCTATTTATTAACAGAACATCCATTCACCAGAGCAACAAAAGAATCAAAAACCTAGAAAATCTCAATAAATACTATGTGCACACATAAACATACATATATATAAAATCACATATATATATAAAATAGATGAAAACCTTTACTAAGATGTTTAACAGAAGGCTTAAATAAATGGAGAAACATGCTATGTTCCTGAGTGAAAAATCAAGTTTATTAAATCCCCTATAATCCATACCCTTACTCAGTCTCAATCATAGCCCTGATAAGGTATTTCGTAACACAGTGTACCAGACTTCACGCGAAGGAAGAAGCTGATACAAGAGTGCATTCCCTCCCTCCGCCACCACTGTCCCCACCACTACTTTAGCTCAGACTCACCTCCCTGGGTCACTGAACACACCTCTCCACTGAGCTTCCAGCCCATGTGCAGGGGAAGGTTTCGGCGTAAAATCTGACCCCTCTGGCACGCAAGTCTCTCTGCCGCAGCCGCCTTCCCCAGCCTCGTCAGTGGCCGTCGTCCTCCCATTCATACCAGGCTTACCATCACCACCCAAAGCTTCTAGAGCTGAAAGGATAACGGCCTTGGCTACGCTGTGCCTTAATACCCACCAGCTCCTTCCGGAAAGCCCATCCTCCTGTTCCTCTTCCCAATTCTGTGTTCGTGCTCCTTCCTCTGGAAAGCCTTTTATGACTTCCTCTAGTCACACTTAGAGCCCCGAGTCTAGACTTTCACAGAATCTCGTGCGCTGACCTTGGAAGGCACTGATCTGTCTGCTCACTCCACTAGGACACCAGGAGCAGATAAACAACGAGGGATGAGGAAGTAAAGGGGCAGTGGCGAGAGTCTGAGAAGACCTAACAGGATGTCACTGCAGACCCAGAAAATGAAGGCATCCGAGTAAGAAAACCACCTCAAGCTCGAAAGAATGAAGACAACTAACAAAATGTCTGCTATAGAGCTGAAGATTGCCCTTTGGAAACCCAGAAAAAGTAGATATAGACTCTTACCCACCTACAACTTCAATTAGTCCAAGTACCAAGCCATCAAGAGGGAAGGACAGAAGAACAGCCTTCACCCTTTCCGGTTCCAACCCTTCTTCCTTCTTCCAGGGACAGAAAGAGTCTAGTCCTGGTGACTGAGAGAAAAGCTCCACTAAGAGTAAAAGAGACATAAACAGAAATAAAAATGTAAGAGAAATAAGAATATAAGCAGAGAAAATAAAAGTAATATGCTTGCCAACTCAGATTCTAGAGCCAGAGATAATAATGGCTTAAAATGAACAAGAACATCAGGCCAAAAAAAAAGAGTAGTAAGAAGTCCATACAGTCCCCCAGGCTCCCCTCCCCATGCTCTACTCTTAAACAGAGAAAGTCAAGCAATGAATTCCATCTATTGTTACTTGTCAGTACTTAACTCAAAAATACAGAACACTGGCAGAAAGAAAAACAGATCTTAAAAATGTCAAGGCTGTAGGAATGGGAAGCCATGACCCCACAAAAGGTAACATACTATGGATGCCCAATGGACCAGAGACTAAGGATTCTTCTGCCCAGGGAGCACACATCATTTACCTAACATCTACCAGGAACCAGTGCTACCACCCTAGAAAAGGTGCAGCTTCTGGAAACTTGGTTTTAGACTTTCACTCCACACTTACAGTGAATCAGGGAGCAGAGGGAGGCTATTCCTATTGTCGTCAGATCTGACCCTTTTCCAAAAGAGAGGAAAAAATATACCATCTTTTCGTGCATTCAAATACTTGCTCGCTTCCACTATGAATGAATGTGGGTACAGACTATGTTAGGCACTTGGCAGGACCAGGAGAGCAGGTGTGATTTAGAAAGGCTGGTATAAAAAAGGCTGAAGGGAAGGAGGGATGGGAGGGAGAGGGGCAAGATGAGCTGGGGAAGTTAGTGGTGCCACACCATCCAGGGCCTTATGAACCACGCTTTGAAGGTTATTTTAAAAACATTAAGAGGTGCCAGTGAAGGGTTTCAAGCAAGTAAGTGATTTGGCCAGACTTTTCTACTTTTTAAAAGTTCTTGGGCTGCAGTGTGGGGAATGAACAAAGAGAAATAATCAGAAAAGGAGGAGACCAGTTAGAAAACTGGTGAAGCCCGTCAGGCGAACAACAACTACTATGAAATAAAACAGAAAGCAAAAAAACACAGCAAATACCAGAGTATGATGACCACCAGTCTGGAAAGGAAGGAATAATATTTAGAAACAGCTATCACACACTCTCACACCCTGGATTAAATCTACCACTGTACTGGCTCCACAGCCGCCCTACCACCCTCTGCCCAGTGTTCTCCCCAACCTCTCACCAAATAATTCTTTTTTCCCCACTGTCCCAACCATATCAAGCAGCTGTCCAGTTCATTAGCCACTTGGCCCATGTGGCCCTTTTTATTGGTTAAAATACGTTTTCAAATTTAGGTCCTCAATAGGCACAGCCACATTTCCACAGCAGCGAGCGCCCAGCACAGAGAGGAGAGCACTCCCATCACGGCAGAAAGGTCTGCTGGACAGTGCCGGGCTACAGCTACATCTACATCTGCATCTGCCACCTCACTTGGTGAGCCTATTTACAATGACGTATTTACCTGAGAGGCACCTGTGAAGGCAGACTCGGCTCACTGTCTTACACCCACACCTTGTATATTAATAAGCTTCACAGTGCAGTGAAGAATCATGGTGTACAGACCACCAAACAGGCCCTGTGTTTTGGCTCATTAATCCTCACTATGCTCTGAAGAGAGAGAAAAGCAGCAGGCATCACCAATGTTTTATAGGTGAGGACACCAAGGCACAGAAATTAACCTGCCTGAGGCTATAAAGTCAATAACGGAGTCACAAATAAAAGCTGAATTCCCTAACGCCTTGACCAGTGCTCCATTCATTAAAGTAGTCATGGCTGATTTAAGAACCCAAGGATGGAAACTATTCAGTTTCACCTGACCCAAGCAACCATTTGCTTTAACAAATGGCTGGCTATACCCACAGGAGGGTCATATTTGTTGGTCCACGTGTCTGTGTGTGTGTGTGTGTACACACGCACGCATGCACGTGCAAGCCAAAAAAATAAAAATACAGAAAAACAGGTACCCCTTGAGTTTGCCCCAACTATCTCATCACTTGTGATAGAAAATAAAAGATATTGGACACACTTACTAAAACTAACAGCACTAAGGTACGGTACACTCCTGCATTATTAGTTTTTCAATGATGCTATATAATTTTTTTATAGCAACCTAAATTACAACCTAAAATAAAATTACAACCTAAAAGCTCCACATTTTGTAATTCTTATTTGCCTCTGTAGTCAAAGTAAGCATGACTTTCATGTGCACTCTCCAAACCTGTATAAGCAACGGGGACATGAAGACGCAGTTCTATTTCCATTTCAACTCCCTCATTAACTGAAAGGAGTAAAATAATACATGGGGAGACATGAACCAAGCTATAGATTAAAGACATAAAACTCACGTACGGCAATTGCTTGTGACACTCTTGACAAAGCAATTTGAAAATGCAGCCGCCAGCATTCACTAATGCATCGCCATGCCCTGACACCACAAAACAATTTACCCAGAGCTTCATTTGAATGATGTGAAAAGTCTAAGAAATAACTCGATAGTACTTGCCCAACATCTGAATTCTTACATATTTTAACTAAATATGCAGAAAAAGCACAAAAAATAGAATTTTTAATACAAATTTTGAAGTGCTGGAAAGCATACAAAATAGTTATTTCTACACTTTTCTTATTAATAAGTATGACTCAATCTACAGAATATAACTAAGTGAATTTATGCAGAAAAATCAAAGCTTCCGAAATTAATTTGGCAATTGTTTCTAAAGTAAAGGAGCAAATCGCCCTCAAAAATGTCAAAGAAAAAGGGCACAAATGCTGAATTTTAAATATAGGATATAATGGTCATGTCTAACCTCAGCTGTGAAAGACAAGAAAGGGAGCCATCTACCTGGGTCTTACAGGACGTGTTCCATCACAGTCTTGACTCAGGAATACAAGTCAACTAAACAACACTGTTTAAATTTAATGACTTACACAGCGTTCCTCGAGGCTCCGTAGGAAATTAAGAGCTTGACTATATCCAGGTGCCCATTCTTCGCGGCATCATGAAGCGGCGAGTCGTTCTGATAGCCAGTGGTGTTCACCAACGCCTTGTGCTGTAGCAACAACTCCACTACTTTCAGGTGCCCATGATTGCAGGCTTCATGCTAATTAAGTAAGAAAGGAAGGGAGAAAAGCAATGAGGAAGAAAAATGCATAATATCATAATAAAATTGCACTTGAGAAAAATAAATGTGAACTTGTCAGTAAATTGATTCTTATCTAAATATTCATACAGACTGTAAGTGTTGACCCAGAGTGAAGCCCTGTTAATAATCTTAATAAGATACATGATGATCAAGATCTACACAATTCATGGAAAATGGTGTTATTTATCTGAGCCTTTGGTCAACTACTCTTTTTTTAAGAAGGAAATGTAGTTGACCAACTCTGTATGTGTATAAACCAACTCTAGTTCCTAAACTGTTCCATAGTAAAAAATTACAAACAACAAGAGACTTAGAAAGTATTTAACAATTAGATCATGCATAAAAAGTGAAATTCTCCCTGGCTGAATAGAAATCACCAAATCAGGTGCTTAGCCATATGCTAAGTGGTGCACCCACACATACACATAACCACCCCACCAAGTGAATATCCTGGAGAGAGTATTTACAAGACAATCCTCTCTATTTGCTGAAGCTACAGATTACTGTACAGCTGGTATTGATGATAACACAAATAACACAGAGTAAGTGCTCAAAAAGAATAAATAATGTAACGGGTAACAATGCGATGTGCAAAGATGCTTCACGTGCAAATATTTTCTTATGTCTAATGAACTGTTAATGACGCCACTATATTGTCCTCCAATAAATCTTGGGCATACTGTGCTTTTTAAGTACATCTATTTCATTCATAATAAGCAATACCACACGAAATGTCCGTAGGGCTGTTTCTAGGAGAAAGGAAGCCAAATTAGACATCAGCTCCTCTAATAAATCACTCACCAAACTTTACTACAATTTGCCTTACTGGCTGAAAAATACAAAACAAAAAACAAAAACACAAAACCTGACCTTTCTTTGAAAAGGTTAGCTAGCCCGTGGAGTCAAAACTTAACAAGTGACTCCAATAGAGACTAAACACTCCCAGCTTAGAAATTTGGTGAGAAATTATTATTCACAGCTTTAAACCTTGTTTATACCTGGACTAATGAAAATCTCCCAATTTCCAGCTCACAGGGTAAGGGCTTCCACCTCCTCTGTTGACACCTCTACAGCTGCCTTCAAACTGCCCACAATGAGCCCAGATAGCATTGTTCCCATGAATTTGTGCCATTCCTTTTCCAGACTATACTTCACATTGCATTTTTAGTAATAAGGATTTTTTAGAAATGTTTAGCGTAAGCCAAGATTTTCTACTGCCTCTATATATTTGCAACTAGGTAGGGTATAAATGAGGCTACAATAGATTCTCAGTAAGAATCACTGCCTTGTGATACAATCCTATACCCTGTTTCTCTGACCTCTCTGTTCCAAGAAATCTGGTTCTAATGACATGCAATGTGGCCAAAGAGAGCCTGAAGTAGGTTGTAGTAGCTACCTCCATGTCAGCTACATTCAACAATACAGTATAACAAGATTCCTAAATCTAAAGGTAGTCGGTGAAAAGGTAGGCAATTTCTTGCCTGTCACAATTGAAAAGCTAGATGAAAAAATCATCATTTTCCCTTACTTCGTGAAAATATAAGTTCTTCAGATTAAAAGGAGTGAATACTGCAGAGGGTAATATACAGACAACTATATAACTATAAAGTATAATAACCATAAAACATGAACAAAATGAGAATAAAAAACAAATAGAAAACTACCAATGGTGTCCATCCAGCATGATCTTTAACATTTGGGTCGCTTCCATTTTGTAAGAGGTACTCAACAGAAGGTACATCGCCCTAGTAGAAAAATGAAAAAATAAAAAGAAATTAAAATCATCAAGAAAAGAAAAGAAGATATTGAGATTTGGGTTTGGTATTAAAATTCTGTCTTCTTAAAGATAGAATCAAACTTAAATCTTTTCTCTAATGCCTACTGCTCATGAAAAATAAAAAGTAATGTATGGATGAAGTGTTCTGAGGTATCAAGTCATGAAGTCATATAGTCCATCCTTGAATATCAAGTATAAAATACCTGCGATTAGCAACCCTTATCAAAAGTCATTTCAAAATACCAAATAAAGGGCACTAACCAAAAATCAACTAATGATAATGAAGCATTTAAAGTCATCACTTCATTTATGGAAAACATCCTTTTTGAGGATGCATTAAAATGATTTCCAAGTACTGTTTAAAGCAAAATTAAGGCTAACAAGATTACTCAGTTAAAACTGCCAAAAACTGTTTTCTTATTGTGAGTTACTCCCTTTATCCTTAATACAACAATTTAGTTTATATTCACCTTATTTGCTCTAAGGTATTTTTCTAGGCAAAAGCCAGGCTTATTTCCTCCAAATACTGCACAGCCTACCCCGAAAAATGCTGAATAAATAAAAGTTACATAGGGCAAAAGTTACCTATGACAAAGCTGTGTTCAACTGGTTTTGTGAAGAGCTTCTTAAGGGAGAAGGAAATCTCTCCTCTCCCACTCCCAGCTCCAATATTCTTCTGAAATGAGTTTTTCCCCTCTTGGTTTGATTATCTAGAAGTCACTAAGTCTCCTAAAGACAGTAACTTTTATTTGCTTGTTTGGGGCTACCTCTCAAACACAGCAAATCTTAAGATGATAGCTTAACTTAGTTTTCTTAAAAAAAAAAAAATCCATTTGCAACATACATCTTTATGTTCCTCAATTAACAAAATGACCCTATATACTTAATCAATCTAAAAAATAAGCATTATGTTTCAAATCAATTGCCCCAGTTTCAGTTAAAAAAACATTTTCCCATAGTTTCTTAGGGGTGCAAATTCCATACTAGTACAAGTTAACATTTACTTAGCAACATTTGCTCTATCTTCAAGTCAATTCCAAATAAAACTAGGAGCATCTGTCAAGATACAAATTTGAATTTTCTTAAACAATCCCATGAATATTGGGGCAGATTAACTGCCAGAACCACACACATTCATACATTTCCAACCTTCAACATGAAAGTACACACACACGCACACACACACAGTCTTCTGAAAGATGTCCCCATTCTAATTCTACATAGTAGTCACAAAAACATATTAACCTAAAGAAGCCCATAAAATAATATAAACACAACAGTGGGACGAAGAATCACAGGGGAACAGTCACATATAAACAGTGACAATCTGAAGACTAAAAGCAGACTCTCTTATAAGGTTGCTAGACAGTGGTATTTTTCTTTCATGTCACCTCATCATACTATCAAAGTGTCTTCTGTTAACAAACCATCCCTAGACTTCCCCAAAACACATAGCCAATTTGCAAACTACTTGTTATTTATACCCAATCTGCTTTCTCCTCCACAGTATTAAAAAGTTTGTCATAATTTCATTGTTCTACTTTATTTAAATTTAAGGTCATGCACATAAATAACATTATGAAAATTAAAGCCCACAGAAACTGAGTAAGCTTGAAGCAGTATGGCGTTCCTGGGAAATAAATTAACTTCTGCTTCTGATTTCTTTAAATTACTATCTTTGCTAACAGAATATTTTCTGAGTAATAAGTACTCACTTTTATTAGACTCCCACAACTTAAAAGAATAACTGAGATTTTCTTAAACCACCGTAAGAAAAAAAAAATCATCTAAGGTAAATTTTTACCAAGACTTGTAAGAAATTTTAAATGGATTTGGTATTTTCAAGTAATACCTAAGAGGCTGAAAATAAAGGAAGATGTGTACCACAATCAATTTTCTTATTGCTAACCTTTCGTTCAAAAAGATTCTTCACACATCCATACATGTTACAGCAGTATAATCTGACTTTCCAAACACACACAACACACACACACATACACTTATTTTTCCTTATTATAAAGATTAGCTCTTCTAAAATACAATTAAGAGTAAATATCTTGATAAAAATGGTACAGGACATTACAATAATGACGACTTACCCAAATGGTTAAGCTTTTCCACATAAATGAACTAATCAGCTACCTAAAACTTCTTCTTTTGGCAACTAGATATTGTTAGAAAATTTTTTTAGTCATCAGAATGAAGCTCTAAAATACATTAAACACTTCCCTGGCTTCTCAGACTTGACTGAATAAAATAGTTTCACAGATGATTCTGACAACCTAGTCTGTGATGGTAAGTTCCTGATATTAAGGAGGTTCAGTATTATAAAAGTGGTGGGTGACAGAGGGAAAAATGGATACTGAGTCCAAGGGATGTTCTAGAAATTAAAATCTTGAAAACATCATAGATGCGAGTTTGCTTCTAAGTTCTCTGCTACTTTCACAGAAAGGTAGCATGAAGGATATGTAGTAATATGTCTTTACACACAACATGACTACCTTAAAATACAATGAATTACAAAGTCAAACCCTGAAGGAGACTCCTCACAAGGGATGTTCTCTCTCCACCCAGGGGATTCCCATCACCTTTGTTAAGTGTATCATGCCTTGTAAGTTGCCTTCAAAATATGATTATGTCTGCATCAAAAGTGTATTATGGGGGCACCTGGGTGGCTCAGCCATTAAGCATCTGCCTTCGGCTCAGGTCATGATCTCAGGGTCCTGGGACTGAGCCCCGCATCGGGCTCTCTGCTTGGCAGGAAGCCTGCTTCTCTCTCTCCCACTCCCCCTGCTTGTGTTCCCTCTCGCTGTGTCTCTGTCAAATAAATAAATAAAAATCTTAAAAAAAAAAATGTATCATGACATGCCAAGGTCAAGCCTTTCTTTCTTCTATTTCATGATACGTTCAATACTGTAGCATGAATTATGAGTAATCGTTACCATTTTAAGAATCTGCTAGAAACTTGAGGATGTTTATTCCAGAAACTACAAATCTTCAAGCAAAGGTGGCATAATAACAAAATTTTCTCTATGTCTAAAGAAATATCAAATACTAAGGTTTTAAAAGTTATACCAGAAGAACAAATAATGAGTGCTTATCTTGGTTTCTACTTAGGTGCAACACTTTCTCATAAAATCTCACATTTATAACAATGTTCTCAATAGCATTTTAACCGTAGGTGACATTCACATCCAAATACAAATAGAAACACAGGCAATAAAGAGAACCGACTGGATCTCAACTTTTGTTCTGGTTAAATGAGAATATGCACAACATCCCAGACATCATATTAATGAATAGTCTGCTTGAAATTCCACGGTGTAATAAAATCAAAGTATAAATAAGGAATTCAAGAATAATCCTGTGTGGGGTTTGCATTAAAATAGTGCTGGATGTCCAAAAACTAGATGGCTCATCTGTAAATCCATGATTCTGAGGGGAAAAAAGGATTTGGGGACTGATAATTACAAACAGAATCAGCAAGCAATACAGTAGCTGTCTGCATTCAAGTAGCCTGAATTTAGGCAGTCTGGATATTTACTAAGACCCTTCCACTATCAAGGACGGAGCTTATCAAGATAAATAAGGTAACAGATGCCTAATGTTAACTCAGAAGTCCACTTCCAGAAATTTAGCCTAAAGATACACCCCCTCACATACGAAACAAAGAGTGCTTACCACAGCACTGTTTATAAAAGCAAAAGAATAGAAGCGAACAGTCATCCATCTATAAGGGACTAGTTAAATAACGAAAATTCATAGAAAGCAATGCTACTACGAAAATATACGGAAAGCTGTGTCCTAATATGAAAGCATTTGCTTATATTTACATAAGGAAATTCACAAAGGACACACAAGTAAGAAAGGTAGTTAGCAAAAAGGGCCTGTCAGTAATAGGGTGGCTAAGGGCCGAAATGGAAGTGAGGTTTTCTACTATAAATACTTTTATTCTTATTTTTGAAACATGCAGTTATTACCCATATTTTGAAGTTAACTTTTAAATGAAGAATATACTCTGGATAACCACAATATCTAAGTCATGTCATAAACAGAAAGCTAAATGAATATAAATGCAAACAAAATAATGTCACCATAGAGAAGAAGCTAACTCTGGGAATTCTGAGACTTACTAAGAAGGCAGGATGTAACCTGGATTTTGAAGGTTAGGTACAAAGAGCCAGGAACGAAAAAGGAAGCATGTAAAGGAAAGAATTTAAGAGTCAGAGAAAAGAACACATGAAAAGTATTGGTAGCATTAATGAACATACCCAAATAATTCATAAAGCTAAATACAGTTCAGTGTGACAGGAGAATGGAATGGGGTTCAGATCATGATGGAGTAGAAAATTTGCTCATTTATTCAACAAATTCATCTGCTATGTTCCAGGCAATGTTGTAGATCCTGAAGATGTAACAGTGAACAAACAGCACTCTTGCTTTCATTCTAAAGAGAGAGGCAAAAAACTAAGAGATCTATAATAATAATAACAGGATAAAAAACAAAACAAGCAGGGCTGCTAGGCAGTCTCTCTGAGGAGGTGGCATTTGAGCAGAAGCCTGAAGGAGGATGAGCACACTGGGCTGTGTAGGCCCTGGGAAGGACTGTGGAGTCTATTTTCAGGGGGCCAGGAAGTTACTGGTAGGGGAGCACAGAATGACAAATTTTGACGTAGGTCAGATTATTCTGGCTGCCATAGAGAGAACTGAATACAGGAGGAGTACAGGAAAGCAGAGCAAGAAATTAGGAAGCTACTTCAGTGGTGGTTGTTAGCATAATCACACCCCCACCCCCACACAAATGTCTGTGACCTAATCCCCAGAACTTGTATGTTACACCTTACAGGACAAAAGGGACTCTAATGTGCTATAACTTCCACTATATTTTAGGGTACTGAGCTTCAATGGGGATTACTGCTGCACTGTCTAGGTAGCCCCAGTCTAATCATGGGAGTGTTTAGAAGCATC